GCTCTAGAGACCGGGACTGGTAAGAGAAAGAGTGAGGTTTGTAGGATCTTGAATGGGTTAGGAAGAGCAGAGAGGGCCGGAGGCTGAGAAGGGCCTTGGCTGTGAAGCTCAGGGAGAACACTAAGGGCAGGCAGTCGGCAGGGAGATCTAAGGGTGGGGGCGTAGGCCTCTAGCCGACTCTCCTCACTCTCCTCGGGGTGGGCTGGTCAGGCACAGGCTGGGGGCGCCAAGCTGTTGTCTGAGCTGGAGACAGGCTGGCTGAGGATTAAGCTCCCCCAAACTACTGGAGGTCAGGAAGCTGGGGAGGTGGGACTGAGGCCAGGGACTTCGCCTCAGCCTCATTCAGTGGTTTGAGAGAAACAAGCAGGAGGTCTGGGAGCTGCAGGATTGGTTGAGGCTGGTAGGAAATACCAAGCAAAGCCAAACAGCATCAAGAGGTAACAGTAGTGGAGAACAGCTCTGGAAGGGGTCTGCCTGGCCCAGTCTTCTGATACTCTGCTAGGGGAGCATGGGCCAGGGCTGGGGAAAACAGAGGGCTTGCAGGTGTGCTCTGATTCTGAAGTTCGGGCTGCAAGTACAGGAAGCCCATTATGGACTGCAGCAAGAACCAGATAGCCAGGGTACATTAAGGAGGAGAGCAGATCACAGTCCAGGGAGGCTATAGTGGGAAGGATCTGCTTTCCAAGGGATACGCCTCATGGCAAGAAGAATCCACTTAAGCCCTGAAGCCAGAGGGGTAGACCAGGCTCACAGTTAGAGCCCACAGTAGGTGGCAACGATGATGTGAGGCAGAGAACTTAAATGGGAGACAACCCCTCTTCAGCAGGGGTTGAATGGAGGGTAAGGTACAAGGGGCTGGGGTTGTGATGCTGAAGTTCAGTTCAGGAAGTTGGGGAACAGGTGAAAACGAAGGTCCTGGGAACCAGCAGTTAGCGTAATGGCTATGTCGCTGGACTCCCACGTAGTCGACCACGGTTCACGTCCCGGACCCGGTGGCTTAAAACTCACGCCGGGCGCATGTGCGTGCGTGCCCAAGATCCCGAGAGGGGAATGGAGAAGGGATTGCGGTGTGACCATCCCCCCTGGGGGGTGATTTCTCTCTTTCTGTCTCTATGTCTCTCTCTTGTCTGTCTGGCAAGCACATGCGCCCTATAGCAAAAACCTCTCAAAAACAAAACAAAACAAAAACAAAAACAAACAAACAAAAAACGAAGGTCCTAAACTAGTACAGAACCATTCTATAGTGGCATGGTGGTTGAGGTGCTGGACTCCCACATCGCCAACTGCAGTTCAAGTCCCAGACCTGGTGCCTTGCTTTCTCTCTCTCTCTCTCTTTCTCTTTCTGTCTTTCTCTGGTGACCACATGTGTCCAATAGCATTTTTTTTTTTTTTACAAATAACAATTAATAAAATTAAATAAATAATTATTTTTAAAAAGGGGGTGGGCGGCAGGTGGTGTGGTGATTGGGGAGTTGACTCCCATGTGGCCAACTGCAGTTTGGGTGTCAGACCTGGCAGCTTGCTTTCCCACTTTCCCTCTCTCTCTAGTCAAATTGAAAAATGATACAAAAATAAATTAAATTAAATAAAAAATTGTTTTTTAAAAATATTCCCTACCCAGAACCATTCTCTAAAGGTGAAGCTGAAGCAAG